TGAACAATATCAGATAAAAAGGGATTGATAGACCTAACATCTAGAAATGGGCAGATGTTTTAGTAAGTGGTGTCAGGCGTGGTCATGGGACATTTCCAAGTGTCCCTAAACCTCTCCAAAGTGGCATATGTCTGAAAATCAGATAATTCCAGTGCTATTACATATTTGCAATCCCTAAATGCTATTTTTTCAGTATAAAAACACAATTTCTACCATATCAACCTCACTCAAACATTGTGGTGGTGTTATGGGGTATCCAGGATACATTCAAGTGTCCTTTCAACCTCTCCAAAGTGTCCGAATGTGGTTTCTGCACACTGGATGTGCCTAAAAGTTATTGTTCACTATAAAAACACAATTTCTATAACACCAACCTCTCTCAAACATTGTGGTGGTGTCGGGGTACATACAGGGGATATCCAAGTGTTTTTTCAACATAGTCACTCGGCGGACATTCGATGATGCCATTAAGTCATACATCATCAGATAACATTGGCAATATGCTAGATTTGTTCCTACCAACCTAAGGATTCATTTGATACCTCCTATGTAGCTACAGTGGCTTGCGAAAGTATTCACCCCCTTGGCATTTTTCCTATTTGTAGCCTTACAACCTGGAATTAAAATATATTTTTTGGGGGTTTGTATCATTTGATTTACACAACAAGCCTACCACTTTGAAGATGCAAAATATTTTTTATTGTGAAACAAACAAGAAATAAGACTAAAAAAACTGAAAACTTGAGTGTGCATAACTATTCACCCCCCCCCCCCAAAGTCAATACTTTGTAGAGCCACCTTTTGCAGCAATTACAGCTGCAAGTCTCTTGGGGTATGTCTCTATAAGCTTGGCACATCTAGCCACTGGGATTTTTGCCCATTCTTCAAGGCAAAACTGCTCCAGCTCCTTCAAGTTGGATGGGTTCCGCTGGTGTACAGCAATCTGTAAGTCATACCACAGATTCTCAATTGGATTGAGGTCTGGGCTTTGACTAGGCCATTCCAAGATATTTAAATGTTTCCCCTTAAACCACTCAAGTGTTGCTTTAGCAGTATGCTTAGGGTCATTGTCCTGCTGGAAGGTGAACCTCCGTCCCAGTCTCAAATCTCTGGAAGACTGAAACAGATTTCCCTCAAGAATTTCCCTGTATTTAGCGCCATCCATCATTCCTTCAATTCTGACCCGTTTCCCAGTCCCTGCAGATGAAAAACATCCTCACAGCATGATGCTGCCACCACCATGCTTCCCTGTGGGGATGGTGTTCTCTGGGTGATGAGAGGTGTTGGGTTTGCGCCAGACATAGCGTTTTCCTTGATGGCCATAAAAGCTCAATTTTAGTTTAATCTGACCAGAGTACCTTCTTCCATATGTTTGGGGAGTCTCCCACATGGCTTTTGGCGAACACCAAACGTGTTTGCAATGGCCACTCTTCCGTAAAGCCCAGCTCTGTGGAGTGTACGGCTTAAAGTGGTCCTATGGACAGATACTCCAATCGCTGCTGTGGAGCTTTGCAGCTCCTTCAGGGTTATCTTTGGTCTCTTTGTTTCCTCTCTGGTCCGTGAGTTTCGGTGGGCAGCCCTCTCTTGGCAGGTTTGTTGCGGTGCCATAGGTGGACTTTATTGAACTAATTATGTGACTTCTGAAGGTAATTGGTTGCACCAGATCTTATTTAGGGGCTTCATAGCAAAGAGGGTGAATACATATGCAACCACCACTTTTCCGTAATTTTTTTTAGAATTTTTTGAAACAAGTAATTATTTTCGTTTCACTTCACCAATTTGGACTATTTTGTGTATGTCCATTACATGAAATCCAAATAAAAATCTATTTCAATTACAGGTTGTAATGCAACAAAATAGGAAAAACGCCAACAGGGATGAATACTTTTGCAAAGCACTGTATAGCTCAAACACAGACCAAATTGAGCTTACCTTAAGATGTTTGCTGTATGGTGAAAACGTTGTCTAAAATAAACATTTTGACTCTCGGGGCTGGTGATCAATAACGGTAGGTCACATGCAGACAAATAAGATATCCTCATGATTTGTGGAGTCCTGGCTTTCGGTGTGTATCAACGAATTCCGTGTTTATTTAGTTTATGCTTCACAATGCTAATCGGAATGTTGGTAGCAGCCATCTTGAAATGAGGTCATCGGCTCGGCCTGCCTTAATAAATACATATGCCTTATATGGTAGTAAGTCACACCGAAGATTTGAAGGCACCGATCAATAGCCAAGATACTCAGCTTTCCGCAGACACCCTACTTTTGCTACTGTTCTCATACCAGACTGAATTTAATTTTTAAAAATCTAAACCGCCAGCCAGCCGCACCAATGTGTCGGAGGAAACACCATTCAACTGGCGACCGGGGTCAGCATGCAGGCACCCGGCCCGCCACAAGGAGTCGCTAGGGCGCGATGAGCCAAGTAAAGCCCCCCCGGCCAAACCCTCCCCTAACCCGGACGACGCTGGGCCAATTGTGCGCCGTCCTATGGGACTCCCGGCCACGGCTGGTTGTGGCACAGCCTGGGATGAACCCAGGTCTGTAGTAATGACTCTAGCACTGCGATGCAGTGCCTTAGACCGCTGCGCCACTCGGGAGGCCCCCCAAAAACATTTTTTACCTTTATTTGATTATTATTAGTATTTGTTTTATTTTGCCGAGACGCGCTTTTAAGATCAGAGTGACAACCCACTGGGCACACACTGGTTGAATCAACGTTGTTTCCACATCATTTAAATAAAATGACGTTGAACCATCGTGGAATAGACGCTGAATTGACGTCTGTGCCCAGTGGGAAGTTAGAACAAGTTCTAAATCTTCCTCAGATTCTCATCATATCGTCCCAAGAAACCTCCAAGGTAACTAGCTAGCTAGCTTGTAATCCTGGAAGTGTAGCCAACCCTATTATAATTGTTAGCTAAAATACAGTAACGTTACGCTAGCTACATTATTTGGGGGGTTAATATAGAATTGGCTGGTGATGTCACTGAGCTCGAGATAAAATGAAACTGTCCTCGATTTACAGATTACTTTCAAAGGAGGAGAACATAATGACATTTTCATGCATTTTGGAATAGAATGTCCTTTAAAAAAAAGTCACCAGAAGTGACCTTCTCACAGTCGTTCAACAAAATCTTGTATGTGTTTCCATTGGATTGTGTGTTCAATTAAAAAAGAATATCTTCGGTTGATTCCGTTCACAACTGGCCAATGAAGTAGAGATAGCAGACTGAGTGGTTCATTTGTAACCCAGTCACTGTGGAAGCTGCACTTACTGCCCAGCTCAGTAATGGAGTTTCCTTCTCTCTTTGGGAGACTCTCTCTCTGCCCCAAAAGGCTCTTTGTGTGTGTGTGTGTGTGTGTGTGTGTGTGTGTGTGTGTATGTGTGTACTGGCTGACTCAATGGGTCCTGTGCTGGAGACAAGGGCACACTAAGATCTCAGTCTCTAGCGGAGGTGTACGATCTGTTGTCCCAATATCAAACACACAGCTACTGTAGCTACAGCTACAGTGCAGTGTCTCTCTGACCCATTCATAGTGGTATACTACAGTACACTGGTTTTGATCATGAAGTTATTTTCATTTAATCGCCCTCTCTGTAGTGTTTTGTTTTGAACAATTGTGGTTCAATGGTTCAATTGCTCTGTGGTGGTGGATGGATGCCGGACTTAGTTATCAATAATTAACTTAGGTGAGGTTAGAGTCCAAGCACTTTGGTATGTTGAATGTTCACGTGCATGCCTACTCCCACCTTCACAGAACAAGGTGTCTTCAAGGCTCCTAGAAGATACCTTTTCCCTGTAGCCCCAGTCCTTGGGAAGGATTTATAAACATTAACACGGATTAATATACAGAACGCTTCATCAAAAACCCAAGGACCAACTTGACGTGAGTGGCGCAGATTTATCTCATACTGTTGTTTGTTCAGTGGGGAGAAAGTGTGTAGCTATTGAACATACCTAGAAGGGAAAAGGCATTAATCATTGTAAACTGTATATTATAGTCAAGATAATGGTGTATGCTGAGACAAAGCTACAATTTGTTCCTCTGACACGTGTCAAATACATACAGAGTCAGGTGTAGTGAAAGTTAGGACCACTAATGATTTACATAATCTTCTCTCAAAGTCCTGCCATCAGTGCAGTTAGCGCCATGTATTTCGGTGCAGTGTAGAGCTTCCGTCTGCGTTCAAAAAAGAGAGTTGAAAAGTTATTTTATGCCTATTTATTCATTCATATATTGAAGCATGAAGAATTACATAATGACAGACAATAGAAAAACATTGTAATGCGACAGACATGAGTTTGGATGAATTGCAATGCATGCTGGTTATCTTTATCCTTGTGTGTTTAGATGGTTACATCATCTCTATTCTGTATAAAGAATATGTATAAAGATTTAGATTTTTAATTTTGAAAAAAATATTTTGCACACAAGAAAATACAAAACAATATGATGAAAGTTTAAATGGCAAATGAAAAGAGCATGTACAGGGGGGGTAAAAATCCCAGAGAGGCTTGTAAGGCACCTCCCCTTTTAAAAAATATTTATAAAACAAGATAACCAACCACATTAAGTTTTTATAATAATGAACAAATCATGATAAGGAAAGTCCTTGGTGTCAGATTTGAATGGAACATCACATCAACACGGAACCACTGTGACCCTGACAACCAATAAACAACCTTTGCCTATCTGGAGACAGACTCGCTTATTTAATCTCTCTGAAAGACAGAAAGTCATTGCCATTCAAGTTGCCTCTGTTATGTTTGTTGTCACCTATCCCAGCCAGAAATCACAGCGCAAAACAGCAAAGTAGTGCAAAATCTTGTCTATTCTATTCCCCCCCTCTTTGAATCACGATGACGACCTGACTGCCTTTTCTGGGCGGAAACAAAACAACATAATTAATTTCTCTAGGTTGCCACTATCAAGCCAAAACTTAGCCATACCCCTAACCTTATGCCTATCCCTAACCTCTGTCTGTCCCTCAGGAAGAGGATGAAGTCCCGAGCCCCCCCTCCGCCCCCGGCCCCCGAGCCCGCCCCCAGGAGAATCTTCCGTAACGCCGTGCCAGACGGGGGAGGCTCAGCTCAGGGCAGTATGGGCAGCATGGTGATGGACACCAAGGAGAACATGATGAGGACCAGCGTAGACCTCCACATCACTCTGCCTCAAGGCTATCAGACCAGCAGCACAGTGGACGGCAGGTGAGAGGCAACACACGCACACACACGTCACATATGCATATGCACACGTACACATGACCCCTTTCGACCCTCAATTCACAGACTGTTATGTGTGTGTGTGTGTGTGTGTGTGTGTGTGTGTGTGTGTGCGCGTCGGTGCGTCAGTGCGTCTGTGAATTTGTGTGTGCGTGTGTCCACTTGTTGTGAGAAGCTGACCTGCCAGCACCTCTCTGGCCTTAATGAGTGTCTCTCTCTCTTTCTGCTGGAGCAGTGAGTGAATCAGACCAGGCCATCCAGGACTCCAACCCCTCATGCAGAAAACAAGACAAGGGCCTCTGTTAATACTGTTAATGAGTGGCATGTGAAGACAACGCGTCTCTCACGGTGGAGAGCTTCTAACAGTATTTTTAGTGAACCAATATAGGACAGTGGTCCCAGATCTGTCTGTGAAGTCTTGCCAACTGCTCTGGACAGCAAAAACAGATCTGGGACAGATTTGGGATCAGGCTCGGACAGTGGTCGTCATCTCTCTCACTTGAGTGATGCTCTTTGCCAAGTAATTTGGGTAACACTTCATTTGGATAGTCCATCTTTAGACTATCAGTAACATTTCAACTAACTATCTATACTAAACAAAAATATAACCACAAAATGTAAAGTGTTGGTTTCATGAGCTGAAATAAAAGATCAGAGACATTTTTAATACGAAAATAAAGTGTATTTCTGTCAAATTTGGTACACAAATTTGTTTACATCCCTGTTAGTGAGCATTTCTCCTTTGCCAGGATAATCCATCCACCTGACAGGTGTGGCAAATGAAGAAGCTGATGCTGGGGGAAAATAAAAGGCCACTCTAAAATGTGCAGTTTTGTCACACAACACAATGCCACAGATGTCTCAAGTTTTGAGGGACCATGCAATTGGCATACTGACTGCAGGAATGTCCATCAGAGCTGTTGCCAGAGAATGTTAATGTTATTTTCTCTACCATAAGCCGCCTCCATGTCGTTTTAGAGAATTTGGCAGTACGTCCAACCGGCCTCACAACCGCAGACCACATGTAACCACGCCAGTCCAGGACCTCCACAGAATTTCTGCACAAAACTGTAAGAAACCGTATCAGGGAAGCTCATCTGCGTGCTCGTCGTCCTCACCAGGGTCTTGACCTGACTGCAGTTCGGCGTCGTAACCGACTTCACTGGGCAAATGCTCACTTTCGATGGCCACTGGCACGCTGGAGAAGTGTGCTCTTCACGGATGAATCCCGGTTTCAACTATACCAGGCAGATGGCAGACAGCGTGTATGACGTCGTGTGGGCGAGCGGTTTTCATATGTCAACGTTGTGAACAGAGTGCCCCATGGTGGCGGTGGGGTTATGGTATGGGCAGGCATAAGCTACGGACAACGAACACAATTGCATTTTATCGATGGCAATTTGAATGCACAGAGATACCGTGACGAGATCCTGAGGCACATTGTCATGCCATTCATCCGCCGCCATCACCTAATTTTTCAGCATGATAATGCACGGCCCCATGTCGCAAGAATCTGTACACAATTCCTGGAAGCTGAAAATGTCCCAGTTCTTTCATGGCCTCACCAGACATGTCACCCATTGTTTGGGATGCTCTGGATCGAGGTGTAGGACAGCGTGTTCCAGTTCCCATTAAAATATCCAGCAACTTCGCACAGCCATTGAAGAGGAGTGGGACAACATTCCACAGGTCACAATCAACAGCCTGATCAACTCTATGCAAAGGAGATGTGTCGCGCTGCATGAGGCAAATGGTGGTCACACCAGATACTGACTGGTTTTCTGATCCACATCCATTTCCTTATATGAACTGAAACTCAGTAAAATCTTTGAAATTGTTTCATGTTGCATTTATATTTTTGTTCAGTATAGATTCACACGTTACTGAGCACAAATCACATCTCTAGCCCTAACCTTAAACCTTATCTTAACCCAGAACTTAACCCTTACCATTACCCCTTAACCCTTATTCTAAACCTGACCCTAACCGTAACCTTAGCATACAGTTGCTTATCAACAGGTAGTTTGTTGATAGTATGACCATCTGTAGGGCATCTACAGATGAAAAATCTGGACTATCCAAATTAAGTGTGACCGTAATTTGATTTATAGGAAATTAGTTTTGCAGTCTCAGTGCATGATAAAGCCCAAGGGAGTTTCATCCAGGTGTCATAAATGTCTTGTAATCACCTGATTCATGTGTGCAGGAAGCAGTCAGACAACACCCTCTCCATTATGGTGTGGAAGGGTTTGGCAGACATTGTCACACTATAATAAAAATGTACCTGCTGTTTTCATTATGATAGGAAAGTGATAGTGAAGTACAGATCAATGTGTTGTATTTCCAATGTCTTGTCAAAGCCTCATTTGATAGCTAGATATGTTATTCTAAGAAGAAAGTTAACATATTGTTATTTTCTAATGAAACTCTTCCATCCTACAGCTAATGTATAATGCATTATGATGCAGTTGTAAGACTTGTGATGAGCAAACTTTCCTCTGGTCATTACGTGTTGGTTGTTCAGACTATTGAGCAGACCTTTAGCAGTTTTGTCATATATACTGTCTTCTCCCAGCAGGCAGTAGAAAGCATCCTTGGGTTACCCTTTGACACCTCGTCAGTTGATGTTCTGTATTACATGACATGGGACTTTATATGACACTCAAAAACAGAACATTGTATCAGGATTTATTAAGACATTCTACCATCTCAAATGAAGGATTTAGGGCACTGGCCAGCCAGGGTAGTAGACTGCAATTTCTACTAGCCCAGGTGACATTCTTCTAGCCATGCGATATTTGAAAATACAACATTTCAGTTGCCTGACAGGCTAGTTTGGCACATTTCTACTAGCTCTATCTGCAAAGTACTAGCCTCAGGCTAGCTTCATTTCCATCCCTACATACATATAAATTATTATAAGTAGACCAGACAGGTAATTTATTGTCAATTGACTAAGGCTAGATTTCCTATCTGCAATCCATTTAACTTTCTAACACTTCACTGTTCGGATCATTAAATCAGCCTTTTATGTACCAATTTGCAGGCTTATCTAATGCTGTAAGCTGAGCGGCATGAGTGTCTGCCTGTGCATCACCCAGTGTAATTAAAGGTATTCCTATTGGCGCTAAAGGAGGTAACCCTATCTATCAGTCAGGTCACGTCCCAAACAACACCCTATTCCCTATATAGTGCATTACTTTTGACCAGAGCCTATAGTGGTCCTGTCAAAAGTAGTGGTCCCTGGTCAAAGAAGTGCGCTATCTAGGGAATAGGGTACCATTTGGGACATACCTAGGTCTACTCTGTCCCGCTCCGCTCTGCTCTGACGAGCCTGTGACTCTACCTCTACCTGGCTTCCTGTCTGTGACTCAGCCTGGCTTCCTGTGCTGCTTTCTCCTCTCTCTGTGCAGCAAGGCGCTCATGGACCTGTTGGTGGATCTGTGCAGCCAATACCACCTGAACCCAGCCTATCACACCCTGGAGTTGCTGTCCAGCAAGGGCCTTCCCCTAGCCTTCAAGCCCAACAGCCTGCTGGGGTCCCTGGACGTTGTTGCCATCAGCATCAGGGAGAAAGTGTTGCAGGAGAAGGTGGTGCGGAAACCTCTGCCTAAAGTGCCAGAGGTGAGTGCCGAGTGATCCTGATCTAGAGATCTCAGTGTGTGTGTTTGTTTGATACTGTCGTACTGATTGAGGATATGTAGCTGCATTGTGATTGTGAATAAGCAATTAGCTGTGCTTATTGTAACTTGAGGATTAATAGTTATCCTCTGTTTAGTCTTCCATGAATGCACATGTATGTTGCACTTCATGAAGTTATTGTTCTGGTCTGGGCCTTTTGCTGTTGTTGTAGTGCACGGGACGGGTATCGTTGAGTGTTTTTGAGATATGATGAATAAGACGTTTTTTTTGCATGCATTGAACCTAACCTTTGTCACCTGGGAAATGTGATATATGATTCTCTATGTAACCGTGCGATCGCCCTTCTTTACCTTTTGACACTAAATCGTTGCAGCAGGAAAGGCCACAAAAACCCAAAAGGGCTCATGCTAAGGTAGGCAGCAGGTGTTGTAGAGCCAGTCTCTAAACCAGTGGGATTATTACCGGCTATCGGTGGCTGATTGAGTGTCTTCTCTCTCTGTCTCCAGTGTCTCCTGCTCTCCTCCTACCTACCTAGATATGAATTTTTCATGAGTGCCTTACCTTTAGTTACCATGCATTATTTCTACTCTACTCTCAGGCCTGACTGGCCCTGGTGGCCCTGCTCCCCTATCTCCCTTTGACCTCCCTTTGGCTGATGGCCGTAGTCTGACACTGTTTCACTCTGATTCACGAAGTTGTGGGTAACACTTTACTTAAAGTGAACCGGTATAATGCATTATGATGTGGTTGTAATGCATTTTATGACTTGTAATAAGCATGTACAATACAGTATAACCCCATTTTGAAACGGAGTGGTGTAAATTTAAGTAAGCATACATAATAATCTATTGATTTCGATGTATGGATTTTTTTATATTCCACCAAGATATATTTTAACATTTGATAAATTGTTGCATGAAAATATGCTTTGCTTATTTTGTATAAGTTGCCTCAGTAAGTATTAGCAAAGAGCCACACACAAAAACAGTTGTGCTTGTGATTGTTACACACCCTTGATTGGTAAGTGGTTGACATGATGTTTTCAGAAGGGGAGTCTTGAAGCCTGTACATTGTGTACTGATGTGTGACCGTCATGGCCTCCGTGATAACAGTAGCAGAACAGAGTGGTACTGGTATCTTTGTGGCTGTGTCCCAAATGGCATCCTACTTACAATATAGTGCCAATACTTTTGACCAGAGCCCTATGGGACCTTGTCAAAAGTAGTGCACTATATAGGGAATAGTGTGCCATTTGGGATGCAGACTGTGCCATTTGGGATGCAGACTGTGTTCTTCATAACAACCACTTCAAACCTCTTAGTGCTGCTGGCACTGTTGTTATGGACCCTCTCTATGGGTACACCAAACACCCTGGGACTGACCGGGCATTGGCTGCCCACACACAGGCCCTCTCTGTCAGGCCTTGACTTGGCTCCGAGCCTCAGTTTCCTCAGTGTGCTAGTCTTGAATGACCCCCAGTCTCACCCCCCCTCCTCCCCCAGGCCTGTCAACAAATATCTACGTTCTAAGGGAAAAGCTGAAAGTAAAGCATAACCTCTTTTAAGTGAGGTGGAGTGAAGTTTTTAGTTAATCATGGTTTTTCCCACAAGTCTGACACCCACTTTCTTTTCTCTCTCTGTTTTGCTCTTTCTCTCTCGCTCTCTCTCTCTCTCTCTCTCAATATTTTCCACCCTAGTTTTTCCCATTGGATGTGTACTGCTGAGATCTTTACTTTCAAGTCCCATTTAATTACTGAACTTAGACCTGGGTTCAAATTGTATGTTTATTTAAAATACTTTGAGCGTTTGATTGAGTCTGCCTGAAGTGCCAGATCAGCATGATTGCAAGCAAGCTCAAGGTCAAACAAATACTATTTGAACCTAGCAGGTTCTCTAATACTGTATCCATCCATTGGCACGAAAGTCACTCTGTCTTTCCTCCTCTCCCTGTAAAGAAAACGGTGCGTCTGGTGGTGAACTACCACAGGAGCCAGAAGGCGGTGGTGAGGGTGAGTCCCCTGGCGCCCCTGGAGAGTCTGGTCCCAGCCATCTGTGAGAAGTGTGAGTTTGACCCGGCCCACGTCCTGCTGCTGAAGGACAATGTCAGCAACCACGAGCTGGAGCTGGACAAGTCTCTGAGCGAGCTAGGCATTAGAGAGCTCTACGTACTGGACCAGACTCTTGGTAAATAAACCACCTTATACCCCCATCTCCCTCCACCTCTTCCTATAGGATGGTGACACATTTCTTGCCAACTCCTATGGTCATCCTATGGTCAGTGGTATGACAATGATTATAGGAGTTAACAAGACAGCACAAACAGATCTGGGACCAGGCTACTCCACCTCCACCTCCTCACGTGAAACCTACAGTATGTTAGCCTGGTCCCAGATCAAATCAAGTTTGGAATGTTGAGGAGTTGACATTGTAGCACAAACAGATCTGAGACCAGGCTAACTGTACCGACCTATCTCTGTTAACTGTTTCCTCTTATTCTTCTCAACCTGTATATTTGATTTGAGCTCCCTCCATTGTTTTCCGTCACACTTTTACACCCTGATTGTAACTAAATTATAATCAGCACTCACACCACACGTGAGATTGTTTTGAATCAAAGTAAAATGAATGACTTTCTTACTGCAGCTAGCTACATCTGTGCCTGTAATGTTTACATGGGGTGTAATTCAGTCTGGGCTAGTTCATTTTATCAGGGTGTCGCTGCAGAATAAATAGAAAGTGAGCTTGTGTTTACATATTTGTTTAAATGAGCTTTGATAAGCACATGCCTTCCAGGGTGTGTACTCTGCCCTCTATGACTCTGCCCTTAGAGAGGCAATATAGACGGTTAGTCATTAGAACACTAGCTACAATCCTAGTGAGATGTAGTGATGCTTGAGTTAAACTAGAGGCAGTTGTCAAATACCATAGTCAGTGTTGTTGGTAGTTTCACTGTTTCCCCCTTTTCTGTAGGCAGGGGTGGGTGGGGGGTGGGGGATTGGGTAGCCAATGACATGGGAAATGCTGCAGTTTTGATAAAGAAAGTATCTAGTATAGTTAAGGATGGTCTGCATTGCAACAAGGGCTCTTAATGTTCCTGTGATTGTTTCCAGTTCGTCAACCTAAAATGGCTTCTGCACCTGCTCTGAATTACTCAGGTATTACTGTCTGTATGCTACTTAGTGTTCCCGTCCACCATACTGTAGTGACAACCTGAAGCTTAGCAGTCACTTGTACAGTCACATTAACCCTGCTTTGCCATTCATTTTCCTCTTATGGGACACGCTTGTTTGTTTTACATATCTTAGATCAAATATAAGATACAGTCAATGTTATTTCCCTTTCCTTCTGGCTTACAGTGTGGTATGACTGTTTGTTAGATTTATTTTCAGAGGTTGAAGAATAGATGCACTGTCATATTGGAAAAGTTTAGTTGTAGTGCCATCTACTGTTGAAACTTCCTGCTTGTAGATAGAGGCTTGAGTGTGTGTGTGTGTGTGTGTTGTTTAGGGAGAATACTTTTTGTTGTATGCATGGGTTAAACCTTTAATAACTGACATGACTTGCATAATGTAGTGTTGTAGTATAGTTCTAGCTGTTAGCTGTGGTTTATTTAATCCCATTGGTCAATGAATTAACTGCATGAATGAAAACCTATATTTTTAGCTCAGTGAGCCAACCCTTTCATTTAGGAGTGAACTGAAACCTATTGTCTGTCCATTCATTGTTAGAATTCTTCCGTTCCCACACCTCAAGTGTCGGTGGGGTCGAGAAGAAAGGCCTGCTGGGATTCTTTAAGTTCAACAGAAGGAAATCAAAGGTAAGACAAGACACAGTTCACTTATGTTCCAACAGAGTGACACTAGCCCATTGGCTTGGCTAACTTAGCACCAAAATACAGTCTAGAAAATACTACTAGTCACCGTGCATAGGCTACTCATTAAGAGTGTGTGTGTCTGCAGGTCAAGCTGACTTTATACTGTTGACTTACTACTACTGTATGTTGAAATGCAGGTAAAGGAAGCATATTTCTTCTGTTTGAGTGGAATAATTTGATACTTATAAAATCTGCTACTTAAATAGCTACTGTTATTCTTGAGCTCAACATATGATGGCTTTCCATGAAAATAATCAGTCTTATAGTTTTTACTGTCCCAGTGGAAAGGGCTTTTTAACCCTAGCGCTGTAGGAGTACTGCTATCATCTGTCAAATAACTGAAATAACTGCATGTCATGCTTGTATTGTAGTTGCATTCTGCTGTATTGCATGTTAGCTGTACATTCCATTTCAGACTGAAGAACAGTCGCCTGCTATGGACATGGATGGTCTTGATAATAATATTATTCAAAATACTGAAAAACACTACAATGTAAGTACTACTAACCCTCCTCTGAAATGTCTGGGTGTGGTAATTGACATCTTGCATTATATTTTCTTTCAATACTCAAATCTCTCAAGCTGTTACCTTTTTTTAAAGTGCAATCTCATTCAATTAGAAGAAAGAGATATTATGCTTTTGAGTTCTATTCTCTTGTAGATTTTCCTAATACCCACCACCTTGTAACAGATTGCATTTTATGCACACAAAAAAAAACATGAAAACACATGAGTTCAACTTTGGTTTTCTTTTTAGTAGGGTTGCAAAATTCCGGTAACATTCCCAAAATTCCCAGGTTTTCCAGAAATCCTGGTTGTAGAGTTCCAGGAATCAGAAGGGAATAAGCAGGAAATCCAGAACTCTCCAACAAGGATTTCTGGAAAACCTGGGAATTTTGGGAAGGCTACCGGAATTCTGCAACCCTACTTTTCAGCCTTAGTGTGCCTTCTCTTGATATAGTTGATTGCGACGGTTGTTCTGCTCATGTACCACTAGAGGGCAGACTTGACAAGCTGATCCCACATCTTATGATTCCCCTCAGTCAATTACTGTACCTTGACTGATTTAAAGTTTCTGCAGCAAGTCAACCTGAAATAAATTAAAGCCTTGAATTATTTCTTATTATTTTATCAGCTTTACTCAGTGACACGTATAATGTATGTTATAGTTAGTTTGTAATACAGTAGTAGTTACAGCAGTAGAGCCAGTTTCCCGGGCACAGTCTCCACTCCATCGTGGAGTTCTTTGTATGTGGTGTGCATGTGTGCTAAAACATTATTATATTAGAGCAAACATTGAACAGGCTACCTGTTCGGAAGGTAATTTAATAAGTTTTATACAATTACAGAGGAATCTATTGCAGGCAGCCATCTGGGATACACCTCAAATCAATATGGGTATTTTATTGGATTTCCCATAAGACCTTGGTGGATCTCTCCTGCTCATTTGAGTCATGCCCCAGGGTGCGCACATACACACACACACACACCCTCTGTGTCCTTAGTGATCATGTTACATCATCATACTATACCTGGCTGCATTTACTCTCATATCTGGATACCATTATGGGCCAAACAGATGGGAAGATATGTTGAGGACTGTTCATAGCATCGACTGAAATAGAAGAGTATTGCATCTATGATACACAATGTACAGTGTCCTACATTTGACAAACTGATGGACCGATATGTTGAGGACTGTGTACATAGTGTATGATCTAAAGGAATGAGAAATGGATATCTGAAAACTATATTGCTTTGCTTATGAGACAGTTCTTTTGATGCTATGGCATGCCAGAAATGATGCTGTCTGTTTTCCCAGAGTTTTTTTTATTGTACAGAATGAAACTATTTCAGATCACATTTTGTCCTTGGAGAGGACTATAGGGCGTGTTGCTGCCTCTAAATCATCAAAGATGGCCATGTTCTGTTCTATCTGTCTCTAGTCTTGGCAGTGAGTACTCCACTTACAATGCATTTCCACCTTGGATATGCATGGGTGATAGGCATTGTGGTTAGCTCTCAGAGTTCATCCAGCATGTACAGTTGAAGTCGGAAGTTTAAATACACCTTAGACAAATACATTTAAACTCAGTTTTTCACAATTCCTGACGTTTCATCCTAGTAAAAATTCCCTATCTTAGGTCAGTTAGGATCACCACTTTATTTTAAGAATGTGAAATGTCAGAATAATAGGAGAGAGAATGATTTATTTCCGCTTTTATTTATTTCATCACATTCCCAGTGGGTCAGAAGTTTACATACACTCAATTAGTATTTGGTAGCATTGCCTTTAAATTGTTTAACTTGGGTCAAACGTTTCAGGTAGCCTTCCACAAGCTTCCCACAATAAGTTGGGTGAATTTTGGCCCATTCCTCTTACAGAGCTGGTGTAACTGAGTCAGATTTGAAGGCCTCCTTGCTCGCACACGCTTTTTCAGTTCTGCCCACAAATGTTCTATAGGATTGAGGTCAGGGCTTTGTGATGGCCACTCCAATACCTTGACTTTGTTGTCCTTAAGCCATTTTGCCACAACTTTGGAAGTATGCTTGGGGTCATAGACCAAGCTTTAACTTCCTGACTGATGTCTTGAGATGTTGCTTCAATATATCCACATCATTTTCCTTCCTCATGATGCCATCTATTTTGTAAAGTGCATCAGTCCCTACTGCAGCAATGCACCCCCACATCATGATGCTTCACGGTTGGGATGGTGTTCTTCGGCTTGCAAGCGTTCCCCTTTTTCCTCCAAACATAACGATGGTCATTATGGCCAAACAGTTATATTTTTGTTTCATCAGACCAGAGGACATTTCTCCAAAAAGTACGATCTTTATCCCCATGTGCAGTTGCAAACCGTAGTCTGGCTTTTTTATGGCGGTTTTGGAGCAGTGGCTTCTTCCTTGCTGAGCGGCCTTTCAGGTTATGTCGATATAGGACTCGTTTTACTGTGGATATAGATACTTTTGCACCTGTTTCCTCCAGCATCTTCACAAGGTCCTTTGCTGTTGTTCTGGGATTGATTTGCACTTTTCGCACCAAAGTACGTTCATCTCTAGGAGACAGAACGCGTCTCCTTCCTGAGCGGTATGACGGCTGCGTGGTCCCATGGTGTTTATACTTGCGTACTATTGTTTGTACAGATGAACGTGGTACCTTCAGACGTTTGGAAATTGCTCCCAAGGATGAACCAGACTTGTGGAGGTCTACAATTTTTTTCTGAGGTCTTGGCTGATTTATTTTGATTGACCCATGATGTCAAGCAAAGAGGCACTGAGTTTGAAGGTAGGCCTTGAAATACATCCACAGGTACACCTCCAATTGACTCAAATGATGTCAATTAGCCTATCAGAAGCTTCTAAAGCCATGACATAATTTCTGGAATTTTCCAAGCTGTTTAAAGGCACAGTCAACTTAATGTATGTAAACTTCTGACCCACTGGAATTGTGATACAGTTAATTATAAGTGAGATAATTTGTCTGTAAACAATTGTTGGAAAAATTACTTGTGTCATGCACAAAGTAGATGTCCTAACCGACTTGCCAAAACGATAGTTTGTTAACAAGAAATTTGTGGAGTGGATGAAAAAACGAGTTTTAATGACTCCAACCTAAGTGTATGTAAACTTCCGACTTCAACTGTAATTACAGATGTTCAGGTGAACTTTTCCCAAACTTTAATAACAAAGAAAGACCTAATAGCTTTTTGGGGCTCTGGTCTGTAACTGATTTAAGATTATATAACGTATGCTACGCATTCATGGCAATTCCCTGCATGGAACATTCTGTTCCAACAGCTGAGTACAACAACAGCATGGATCCCAATTGAAAGTTAGCATGATCCCTCCCTAAATTTGGAACGTGTGTTTTGTGTTGGTCTTTCATAATTGAACATGCAGACTCTCAGAGAGCTGAAATATTAACGGTTTACCCACACCCACTTTCATGTGAGAAGGTTGCCATGAACACATGAGCGCAGTGTGAAAAGTTCATCAGGGGAGGAGAGGGTTGGCCGCTGGCCAATAATCACTCCCCAGTCCCTGCTGAAGGCTGTCTGATTTCTAAAAATGCAGTTCAGGTTTTCTCTCTCAGCCCTCTCTCGTGGCATGGGGCCAACCGGCAGAAGATTGAGGCTTTGGATTTACTGGAATATTTGCATATAAACTACCAGTCAAAACTTTGGACACACCTACTCATTCAAGGGTTTTTCTTTATTTTTACATGTTTTTACCTTGTAGAATAATAGTGAAGACATCAAAACTATGAAATAACACATATGGAATCATGTAGTAACCAAAAAAGTGTTAAACAAATCAAAATATATTTTATATTTGAGATTCTTCAAATAGCCACCCTTTGCCTTGATGACAGCTTTGCACCCTCTTGGCATTCTCTCAACCAGCTTCATGAGGTAGTCACCTGGAATTCATTTCAATTAACAGGTGTGCCTTCTTAAAAGTTAATTTAATTTTAATTTATTTCCTTCTTAATGCGTTTGAGCCAATCAGTTGTCTTGTGACAAGGTAGGGTGGTATACAGAAGATTGCCCTATTTGGTAAAAGACCAAGTCCATATTATGGCAAGAACAGCTCAAATAAGCGAAGAGAAACGACAGTCCATCATTACTTTAAGACATGAAGGTTAGTCAATACGGAACATTTCAAGAACTTTGAACGTTTCTTCAAGTGCAGTCGCAAAAACCATCAAGCGCTATGATGAAACTGTCTCTCATGAGGACCGCCACAGGAATGGAAGACCCAGAGTTACCTCTGCTGCAGAGGATACGTTCATTAAAGTTACCAGCCTCAGAAATTGCAGCCCAAATAAATGCTTCACAGAGTTCAAGTCACAGACACATCTCAACATCAACTGTTCAGAGGGGACTGTGTGAAAGAGGCCTTCATGGTCGAATTGCTGCAAAGAAACCACTACTAAAGGA